GAGAGAGAGAGAGAGAGAGAGAGAGAGAGAGAGAGAGAGAGAGAGAGAGAGAGAGAGAGAGAGAGAGAGAGAGAGAGTTTTTTCCAGCCATGCACGCTATGAAGTTGTATTCAAACGGTGCAAATGGAAGCGGCCTTGAACTCCCACGGGCGCGAAAGAAAAGAAAGCGCTGTGCGCGAATGGAAACAAAGCGCCGCCACGGCCTTGAACTCCCACGGGCACAAAAGAAACGAAAAAAGCACCGCTCCGGCCATGACCTCCCACGAGCGGGGATGAAACTACGACGCGCGTGGGCCTTCAAACTCACGCTAGGACGGCGAAAGAAAAAATAACAATTTCAGCAGGGGTCCCTTGGCCCCCTGCGCCTTGTCCCTCACTGTTTCCCAACACAGGGAGCTCGGGCTCGCGGGAGCGTCACGCGAGACCTGCTGTTCCCGTTATAAAGAGTATAGATATACATAAGGTAGACGGACTTTCAAACAGAGAACAGTATAGGACAAGGATAGGAGGCCCAGAATTCGTACGAGCCAAGGCAGTGAAGTGCACTCTTTCAATTGATAGATATGCCACAATATGTTACGTACGCCCTGTGGTTTCCTCTGCTGACGAATGGCGTTCGGTCTCAATACTTGTGCAGGCAACTGCGGTTTCCGCAATTGCAGTACCATCATCATCGCTGTTTTTGACTCCAGTTTTTTGTTTGTTTGCACCCTCGGTCTCTCCGGCAACTATGTCATCGGTCGCAAATCCTTGCTAAGTCAAGCCCCCCCCCCCACCGCCCCCCCCTCTCCTTCCCCCTCTTTCTGTGCTTGGATGCAGAGGACTGCTTTCCTTCTCACCTCCTCCATCTCGTCCATGGTCTCGTTTGCGAACAGACCTCTCCGGTTGCCACTGTCCCCTCACCATTGCCGCACCCATGATTGTCTCCAGAATGCCATGCTGTACAACAGAAGCCCATTGATGCATATTGTCGACAGTATGCTCTGCAGCGTTGTCGTAGAATGAAATCTGCATTGTCCAGATGCATAGACCCCTTCCCGATTCCTGATGTGCTCATCCTTGGGATCATCAATTCCCAGGCTCTCTGCACCTGCTTCACACATTATTTTTCCTTTGCTCTGCGCTGTAAAGTCCACTCCTGTGTCCCATGTAGCCACTCCCAACTCCCGCCAGTGCCCAGTTGGGAGTTCGTGATTCATCCGCTTGAAAATTAAAGCCTTCTAAGCCACATGCTGCTGCACAAAGTGCTGGCCTGGTTATGGCCCGTCTCTGTAAAATGGGACGCTGGACCCGATTTCCAGCAGGTGTTGCTCCCCACCAATAGATGGAGCCCCTCCCCCAAGTGTTAGTGGTGTCTGCTCTTATCAGCAGCACTAACACTGGCGGGAGTGTTAAATAAAAAAACAAAAGGCTAGGACCGGCCCAGGGCTGCAGGCTGCTCAAATCAGGGGTTGGTGGAGAAGACCAGCCTGTGGGTGACCTGCAAATCACAACACAGGATGGCACCCCGGCCACACTGGGCTTGAACAGAAAAGTGGGATTTTGTACTTCTGCTGCTGAGAGAATAAAAAATTGTATCCTTGCTCAGCAAGATATGATTTGCAATGACTGCAAAAATGATCTGGCTGGTTCGAGATCGCTAATTCTATTGCAGAGAATGCTCTCGCCCGCCCATAGAGCGAAAAGAACTCCGGAAAATGAATCTGCACTGGCCGGGAATCGAACCCAGGTCTGCACCGTGGCAGGGTGCTATTCTACCACTAGACCACCAGTGCTCGTGGATACCCTGGAAAAAGGCATTAGGATGGTGCCCCCAACACCAGACGAAAACGTGAGAATTATTGGATGTGTATTTTGCAATTTCTGTCTTCCTGAATTCGAACTAATATTTGTGGTTGGATGTGATTTATAATCACTACTGAAAATGATCTCACGTGTAGTGTTGCAGAGGTCCCCTGTCTAAGCCTTAGGAGCATACTTGCAAACGGACGCCGTCCGGGCGGTTCCGCACGTGCGGCAGACCGCCGGACCGGACCCGCGCGGCGCACGAATGTGCGCCCGATGACCAGTTACGCCCCACCCCCCACCCCCCGAAAAAAAAGACACGCCCCCGTCCGGTCCGGTCCGGGTCTGTCCGGTCCGGGGGGAGGGTGCCGCACGCGGCAAAGCGGACCGGGCCGGATGCTCGTCCGGTCCGTCTGCTTGCAAGTATGCTTAGGAGTAGTGGGTAGTGGTAGGTAGTTACTGAAGGTGAATTGAAAGAATTTGAAAGATGATGAAAGATTTGAGAGAAGAATATAGCGTACCTTAGGAGTAATGGGTAGTGGTAGGTAGTTACTGAAGGTGAATTGAAAGAATTTGAAAGATGATGAAAGATTTGAGAGAAGAATATATATATATATAAAAAAACAAATTGAGGATGATCTTGCGTGTAGTGTGAAAACTTCGAGTTAGATTCCAACTTCCTATATTCCGTCGCCGGGACTCGAACCCGGGTCGCCTGGGTGAGAGCCAGGTATCCTAACCAGACTAGACTACGACGGATGTGACAAGGTGGTTGACTACAACACTTAAAAAGGGGTATGATGTAATTACTAATTACTAATCAGTCATAACGAAATCAATTCAATTTTGTTTGTTTGGTCCCATGCTACCTGGGTGGCGAATAGATAGTTAGGGCCATGGACCGCTAACACTATGCCTTTCTATTAAAGCCCAGAACCTGGGTATTTTTACGACCAAGCGTCAACAACATAGCCGCAGTTGGGCTCGACCGTGACTTCTCGTCTTTGAAATTGTATCCTGAGGTCCACTCGCTCGTTGGGTTCTTGGAGGAGTTTGGGGGGCATTGGGCCCTAGCTCGACTACTCCCCAAATGTGCAAAATGAGAATGAATCTTCCGCTAGAAAATGGAGAGATACACTGCCATATTTTTTTTTGTCTTTTGTGCATGTGGAGAGTAGTGGAGCGAGGCCCATTGTCCCATCAGCGATTACTGACGAAGTCCAGTGTGATCAAACCCTTACTCAGTCCTTCTGGTGCTGGCTTGAATTGTCCTACTTTTGGAGGAGTTTGGGACACATTGTCCCATAAAGGATAAATTGCATCGTTCATTGTGATTGAGCCCTCACTCAATCCTTTCGGTGTCCGCTTGCCCTGTTAGCGTGTTACACAAGCTAAACCACAAGTGCTGCGCACCTCTACCCAAAGTTGTGGCCGTGTAGAAGGAGACCATGCGTTCAGTGTACTGCTGTGAGTGTAGGCAATTCGATGCGCAATAGGTTGATGAAAATTGTGCACATGTCACTGGTAAAAAAAGCAGGTTAGGCAAACAACATTTAATATAGTGCATTCAATGCATTGTGATTAAGCCCTCAGTTGAATGGTTCAATTGAAGTAATGGGCTGCTATTCACGCAGCCCTCAACTCAGTGGCATGATAGAATGCACTCTGTGAGTCTGTGTGTTACATGCTGCGCCTGCATACGCAGGCCATTTTCCAGGCCCTGCGCCCTTCAGCCAAAAAGCCTAGAATTCAGCCTGAAAACAGGGGCCTACAGTCCCTGTGTCGTTTCAAACTAAAAATGGCAATAGCCTTTTTAGCCTGAAACGAAGGGCTATTTTCGGTCGTTCACCAGAACGACTGGCCCTGAAACTCAGGCACCAAACCAGGGTTTCGGGAACAGGCTATTCTTAGCCTGTATCCATGCCAGCCTCAGCAGATGCTGCAGCGCCAGCCCCTGGCACACTTCGGCATTGGCAAGAGGAGCCTCCTCGGCCTGGCTGGCCCTTCAGCCAGTCAGGAGGCAGGCCGTGCATTGGCAAGAGCAGCCTCCTCGGCCTGGCTGGCCCTT